ATACTCACTCACTCACTCACTCACTCACTCACACACACACACTCAGACTCACTCAGATTTATTCACATCCACTCATTTAGACTCATTCAGACTCACTCAAATGTATTCACATTCACTCACTCAGACTCACTCATTCAAATTCACTCATTTAGACTCTTTCACATTCATTCATTCAGACTCACTCAAACTCACTCATTCAGACTCACTCAGTCACTGTGCTGCACTTGAAGTCAGTGTGTGGATTCTGGTTCATTCACTGTGTGTGTTTGTGTTTCTGTGGATCAGGATGTGCTGTCGGTGAAGAACGTGTGTGATCTGATCCACTACATTACACTCAGACGCTCACACAGCGTGAGGAAGCCCAGGTACACACACACACACACACACACACTCTCTTTGACTGTCAGGTGACGGTGTGTTGTGTGTTCAGCTGGTTCGGTGTCGGTGATGAGCGAGTGTCCCGTGTGAACGTGATGGTCCTGGATGGACTCACACAGAGTCACTTCTACAGATACTTCAGTCTCTTCAGACACCTGAGAGACAAATACAGCGCAGTGAGTGACACACACATCATTATTATTACACAAGCGCTGCTGACTGTAGTTATTGATCACTGCTGTGTTTCTCAGAGATGGACTCTGGCGCCCTCTTCTGGTGACCTGCTGACCTCTGACCTCCTCAGCGCTGAGGTCGCGGTGTGTGACAGAGCAGCAGAGACGCGTGCGGCACTACCAGGTGAGTCATTCGTTCCTCGCCGATCTGTCGGCTGCTGATGACCCGTGTCACATGACCCGCTGTGTGTCGCAGCTGCGCTGAGGTGGCATCCCGTGATTCGCCGCTTCGGTCTGAACGCCGCGGGGCTGAGCAACTTCCTGCTGACTCAACAAGAAATGATCAAACAGAAGTATCCTGTCAAGGGTGAGACACACACATACACACACACATATCTGAGACATACGACACACACACACACACACACATGCTGATGTCATTTTCCCATGATGCCATGCAGGTGGGTGGGGCTGCGAGGAGTTCGTGTGTACAGTGAGCGACGGGCATGTGACGGACAGCAGTCCTCTGTTCGGTCTGGACTGTGAGATGGTGAGTGGATACAGTGATCTGCTCTGTGATGGGCCGCTCTGATCTGCTCTGTGATGGGCCGCTCTGATCTGCGCTGTGATGGGCCGCTCTGATCTGCTCTGTGTTTGGCCGATCTGATCTGTGCTGTGATTGGCCGCTCTGATCTGCGCTGTGATGGGCCGCTCTGATCTGCGCTGTGATGGGCCGCTCTGATCTGCGCTGTGATGGGCCGCTCTGATCTGCTCTGTGTTTGGCCGATCTGATCTGTGCTGTGATTGGCCGCTCTGATCTGCGCTGTGATGGGCCGCTCTGATCTGCGCTGTGATGGGCCGCTCTGATCTGCGCTGTGATGGGCCGCTCTGATCTGCGCTGTGATGGGCCGCTCTGATCTGCGCTGTGATGGGCCGCTCTGATCTGCGCTGTGATGGGCCGCTCTGATCTGCGCTGTGATGGGCCGCTCTGATCTGCGCTGTGATGGGCCGCTCTGATCTGCGCTGTGATGGGCCGCTCTGATCTGCGCTGTGATGGGCCGCTCTGATCTGCGCTGTGATGGGCCGCTCTGATCTGTCTGTGTTTGGCCGATCTGATCTGCGCTGTGATGGGCCGCTCTGATCTGCGCTGTGATGGGCCGCTCTGATCTGCGCTGTGATGGGCCGCTTTGATCTGCGCTGTGATTGGCCAGCGGCGCTCTGACATGTGTCTGTGTTTCAGTGTCTGACGTGTGTGGGGTTAGAGGTCACGCGTGTGGCGCTGGTGGACAGCAGTGGACGCTGTGTGCTGGACGAGCTCGTCAAACCACCCAACCCCATCATCGACTACTGCACCAGGTATACACACACACACATACACACACGTTTATGTGCAGGTCTGTAGTGTTGCGTGTGATTGAGTGTGTGTGTCTCAGGTTCTCAGGAATCACGCGAGCGATCCTTGCGCCCGTCTCCACGCGTCTGGCAGACGTTCAGTCCAGACTGCTGCAGCTGCTGCCACCGGACGCTGTGCTGGTCGGTCACTCTCTGGACGGAGACCTGCGCGCCTTATATGTACTGTTGTCTTTATGTTGCTTTTCTGTTGTTTGAATTTTAGAGGTTCTTTAATGTGATTTTGTCATGTTAGTATTTTTCATTTATTATTTATTTTATTTCAGTTTTAGTCATTCAACCTAAACTTTTTTCAGTGTTAGTTGCAACATTTCTAATTTTCGTTTAAGTTTTTCTAATGTAATATTTGTCTTGTATATGTTCTTCAGCTTTGTTTCAGTGACTGCACATGTTTTTTTTTAACAGTTGTAGTGTTTGTGTGTGTTTGTGCTCAGCTGGTTCATCCTCACGTCATCGACACGTCTCTGCTGTACCGGCAGGAGTTCGGCCGCAGGTTCAAACTCAAACACCTGGCTCAGGTCATTCTGAAGTGAGTCAAACACACAGCTGCAGCTCGTCATGTTCACACGCTTCAGATACAGACATGGCTCTCTCTCTCTCTCTCTCTGTGTGTGTGTGTCAGGCGGGAGATCCAGTCGGAGGTCAGGATAGGTCACGACCCCTGTGAGGACGCGCTGGCCGCTCTTCATCTGGCTCAGTACTTCATCAGGAAGGGACCCAGAGAGGTCTGAATCAGTTTCTTAATGTCCTATTTAAATTATTTATTTGAAATGAGTCAGTTCTTTTGAATCAGCTTTTTAAAATTGGTTTCTGTAAATCATTCCTTTTGAAATTCTTCTCAATGAATCAGTCGAACCAATTCACGAAGGATGGCCTGAATAATTTTTTGTTTTAAACTGTGATTTGTGAGTCAATCATTCTTTTGATTTGGTTCTTTCTTTTGATGATGTTCTATTGAATTGGTTCTTTTAAATCAGTCATTTGGCTTTTTTTAATCTGTAAATAATTTCTTTTTGAATTGGCTCTTCTCAATAATTCAGTCAAATCAATTTACAAATGATGGTCATTTTTGAATCAGTGTTTTTTAATCTGATTTGTGAGTCATTCATTCTTTTGATTTGGTTCTTTTGAATCCGTTCTTCTGAATTTTCTAAATCAGTTGTTTTGAGATGGTTCCTGTAAATCATTGCTCTTGAATATTCTTCAGTGATGTTAGATCATGGATGGCTGATGTTGATTCTCTCTCTCAGGTGGTTGAGGATCATCTGGAGGATCTGTGGGATCTGGAGTTTCCTGAGGACGATGACTCTGATCACGCGATCTCGTCCAATCGTCGCAGCAGGTACTCGTCTGTAGATCTGACTCGTTTGAGACTAACGATCCTGCTCTCTGACAATCTCTCTGTCCAATCACAGCCCTCTCCGCTTCGGCCACGCTCTCAGCAGATCCGGCCAATCAGCAGTGTTCCTGGGCGGATCGGTAGAGATGAGCGGCTCGCTGTCCAATCAGCAGTGCAGGAGACTCCAGTGCTCCAGTGACAGAGAGGTGTGTATCACCTGTATCTCACTGTGTGTGTGTGTGTGTGTGTGTTTATACATGTGGTTCAGTCATACACACTAACGACAGCTGTAAGAATACTACCAGACTAACTATAACAATAACGATAATGATAATTATGACAACTGTAACAATAGTGTCAGAATAACAATAACAATAATGATAATGATAATAACGATAACTAAAACAATACTAACAGCATAACTATAACAATAACGACAACTATAACAATAATGATAACTAACAATACTATCAGAATAGTTCCGTTCTTAATGAATCATACAAATGTAAAAATGATGGTCTGAATGATTCATTTGTGAACCTGAATCACTCATTTTTAAAGTCATATTTGAGTGATTCATTGGTTTGAAATTATTCTTTTGAATCATTCTATTTGATTTTCTTTCTTCTCAATGAATTGAATTGCCAATTCACAAATATTGGTCTGAATGATTCATTTTATGAGTGAATCGCCAATTATTGACTTTTGAATATGTTGTACTGAATTGTTTTTGTTGACAGACACGTGTATCTCCATGTCTCTGTGTGTGTGTGTGTGTGTGTGTGTGCAGGTGGTGTGTGTGTACAGACGGGTGGTTCAGTCCTACACACTCAGTGTTCTTCAGTTCTCGTCATTCAGAAACACACTGAATCAAACAGCAGCGATGGGACCACACCTGAAGCAGGTACACAATCTCACACACAAACACACACACTCGCAGGCAGACAGTGTGTCTCTGACGTGTGTGTGTTCCAGGTGTGTGAGCGTCTCAGACAGATGTGTGTGCGGGGTGTGTGTGTGTGTGTGTCTCTGACGTGTGTGTGTGCGTGTGTGGGTGTTGTGTGTGTGTGTGTCTCTGACGTGTGTGTGTGCGTGTGTGGGTGTTGTGTGTGTGTGTGTCTCTGACGTGTGTGTGTGCGTGTGTGGGTGTTGTGTGTGTGTGTGTCTCTGACGTGTGTGTGTGCGTGTGTGGGTGTTGTGTGTGTGTGTGTCTCTGACGTGTGTGTGTGCGTGTGTGGGTGTTGTGTGTGTGTGTGTCTCTGACGTGTGTGTGTGCGTGTGTGGGTGTTGTGTGTGTGTGTGTCTCTGACGTGTGTGTGTGCGTGTGTGGGTGTTGTGTGTGTGTGTGTCTCTGACGTGTGTGTGTGCGTGTGTGGGTGTTGTGTGTGTGTGTGTCTCTGACGTGTGTGTGTGCGTGTGTTCCAGGTGTGTGAGCGTCTCAGACAGATGTGTGTGCTGTATGTCGGCCCGCTGCCGTCTGATGCCACAGAGACTCTCGTACACAGACTCCTGAAGCGCTGCGGACGCCTGCGGACCATACGACTGCTGCACTACACACACGAGGTACACACACACACACACACACACACACACACACTCCTCACGCTGAGTCACTGAGACAGTAGAGTGTTTGAGTGTGTGTGTGTGTCTGCAGGTTCATGCGGAGGTAGTGTTTGAGCATCTTGAAGGAGCTCAGCTCGCTCTAGAACATCTGAATGGACTCCAGATCAACGACTGCATCATCAAGGTTTCACACACACACACACATGCACGCACACACACTCTCTCTCTCACACTCTCACACACACGCACACACACACACACACTCTCTCTCTCTCACACACACACACACACACACACACACACACACGTCATTATATTTACATTAGTTCAGTATAGTGACTCCAGACTAAATGTCTGTTCAGAGCAGCAATGATAACTATCAGCATAGAGTTTTAAAGGGGTCATATGATGCTGCTAAAAAGAACAGTATTTTGTGTATGTA